AGTCTTATCTTTACTTTTTTAGACTCATTGAAAAAAGGAAATGAAATTTTGATTTCAAAATCACGATCTTTTATATACACAATATATGTGTATTTTATTGCCTTTTCTCTAGAATTTTGTTTATTTGAATCAATTTGAAAAAACTAAAAATGAAATCATTTTTACCATTAAATTTAACTTTAGATGAAATAATAGTCTAAAGTTTGGCCTTTTATTGACGGCCATTAAAAGTAAATAGACATTAAAAACGGATCTTAATTTATTATATTTCACTCCATTATTATTGTATATTTATAACTATTTATACAAATATTAATGAAATATAAAGATTCTGTACATTAGAATAAACAGAATATGTTGTAATAAATAAATAATTTTGTTAATTATATAATAAATATATAAACAGTTACTTAAAATATCCTATTATTGATATTGAAAGTAATTAATAGATCACCAGGTAATAATATAATTATCTTAATTTAATAATTGATAACTATTGTACCGGGATTTAACCAGATTGATCTGAAATAAATTCAAATAAATATTTGTTTTATACATTTCATACCATAAACAACAAATAATATGTTGTAAGGTAAAGCACTTTATATAATGTACATTGTATAAATTTACTGTTTTATACAATATAATATTGACTAAAATAGATTTAAATTTGTTTAAAATATTATTTTATAAATAATAAGTTAAATTATAATTAACACTTACCATAAATAGACTGATCGTTGGATTCAGATTGTGAAACATTTGGATTCTGTGGACACATTTGTGTGCACTGACTGTCAATAATCTATAATAGCAGTCAACTATAGTATCATTAAATAAACTTTTTATTAAATCCAAACACATGTTAAAATTAATTAATTACTATTTAATGTAATTTATAATTATTATCTGTTAAATTATTATTAAAATTATTTAAACGCAGTTTATTATTAAAATAGACATTTGAACTCTTCTTAAATAATATATTTTTTGGAAAATTTCGTAACTTTGTTTCAAAAATTATATCAAATTTATAGTGAATTATGTTGTAATTGCAGTTGTATTTTGTTGGATAGATTTATTAGATCTATCACATTGTTTAATTTAATAACAGATTTTAATAAAAATAACAATACATGATAACAGTTTGCACTCAAAACCATTTTTTAGTAAATTGTGACAAACTATTCAAAGAATTAATATATTCTTCAGTTGTTTAAGAATAATATAAAAACATATTTTGTATAACTATGTACTAACCCTATGACTATTTTTAATCAATAAGTTAATATTTTTCCATTATTATTGTGTCGGTATTTTCCAATCAATAAGTTATTTGATTACAATAACTGTATCAACTGTGTTAGTTAACATTGTTAATTAATCTTAAATGTATAGATGATGGTTTTACTTTAAATAAAACCGAGAGATTTGAAAACATGAAAATTGAACGTTAATATACGTGCGAATAACATAATTTATTAAATTTATAAAAATTGTTAAAATATGTTTTTGTAATTAAAGAAATTTTTATACTAAATTATTCATCAAAGTTATTCACCAATGGAGCTCTATATCAGTTCTATGCTATAACATTGATTTATATAAATAATAAAGTAGGAATATGGTTAAAAACAAATGTATAATTTTGATCATTGAATCCTTAAATGTTGTATAGTATGAGCTGAAATGTAACTAATTTAAATACAACTGCCATTTACTGTAATAATTTATTTGCAATTGTTATTAGTTTCGTAGATATAATTGTTATTATTAATAATTTGATTGACTGCCACTTGCTCATTTGTTCCATGACAATGCGAGTTAATTTAATTGTCACAAATATATAATTAATAGATACATAACATAAACAACAATCTATTTAAATTAACTTATGAAAGTATAAATAATATGGACGTTTCACAGTCAGAATACAGTTTCAATACACAGACTAGTATTAAAATGCTATTTTAAATTATTTAAAATTAAAAAAATATATTAAAATCAATTTCATGATTATATAAAAAATTAAGTAACCAAACAATTTATTGTAAGTAAAAGTAAGATAATAAACATTAAACAATATGTTAATTATTTAGGAATGTCTGAAATATAAGAAAGCACATCGGGGTATGTTTGCCATAAATAGTCCATGTCGCCAAATTCATTGGCATAATTTTTATAGCATTTTAATTCGCTGATGCCTTTGGGGTCAGTCTTGAGTTTTGATGAGGTTTCCAGATTGCCATCAATCGGATCCACACAATAACATTCAGATTCCGTGCACTGAAGTGTCAGATAATTGCCATTTCGTTCGCACCGGTATTGTGCGAACAGTTCAGTCATTTGGTCCCATTTCTCTTCGTCAATATCTCTTATTAACTCCATTTCTCGGACACAATCTGTCGTAACAATCGTTCATTAGATCAAATCAATTATTTATAAAATTATTTAAAGTTTTATTTCGTATAACAACTAAATAAAAATATAAAAGAATATTTTTATCCTAACACAGTTTTAAAAATATGTGTAAATATATGCATGTTAATTATATAATATTTACTGCATTGTTGATTTATGGACAACTTCTCGTTCCTATTCACTTGAGTTCCTCTATATTTCTCTCCATTTTTGTTAACACAGAAACAACTTAAACAAAACAACAAATGATTTCATATGAATGGACATGGATGTTATTTCAATGCATCTATTTTTACTGGTGTTTCGCTTACTATTTATTGAGGCACTGGACGGGAGCGAAGGTGCCATCGATGTCACACTTGGGAATGTCATACGCGACCACCAAATGGCCCTCAGCTTCAAGTTTTTCGATCTCAAGCGTGGCGTTTATATACCGTTTCTGACAATTGGTAATAAATTTTTGCGGCGCTTTGTCCTCTGGAAAAGTGTCCCAAACAAACCATTTGTAAACCATTTAATGGATTTGAATGTGAATTAAATATACTGACTGCAGTCTAATTGGTCCATGCTCGACTTGTTCACCGCCCTCTCCAATACGTTACCCTCAGTCACATTCACGCAATAGACGTAATCGTCGTTTACCTGGAATTCCTCGAAATTGCCGTTTGATTTGCAGGCGACGAAGAAGAAGGGGTCGATATTGAAGTTGAGTTGCAATAACTGGTCGTTCACTTCACTGAATTGTCGGGAACACACTTCACAACCATTTCAATGCCAATCATATATTAATCATTTGGTCATTTAGTGGCAATTCGTCCATCAATTATATATTTTTATATCGTTAAAAACAATACTCACAGCAATCCATGTCATCCGACTTATCATATGTGGCGGAACCGAAGATTCT